AAACAGTTTTGTTTAAAACATAATTTGACTTTGATATGGATTCTATAAAATGATGGTAGTGATAGGAACACAGCAGTCCCCATGCATCTGCAAGTGGAGCAAAGAGATAAAATCTTGCTTTGGTAAGTTCAGTAACCTCAGCTTTCCCCATGGTATTGAGGGGAACAGAACTTGGTATAAAATTGCAGGATTTAATTTGCAGTGATATTATTTTGACATATATACTTTTTCTTTCTGAAGTTAGCTAGGTTTTTACAAGAATCTTTTAATTATTTGTATTATTATTATTAAGATGTGGTAAAATTAGTGCTCTGAAATCTGTGTTTCATTTAATTAAATTTCCAAGTCTCCTTTTCAGGTATTTTTAATGTCTGTCTTTATACAGATGACCCGAATGCTGTTTAAATTCCACAGGTCCTTGCTTTATGTAGTTTTCTGTTATCACAGAATCATAGAATGTCTGGGCTGGAAGGGACCTCCAAAAGTCGTCTAGTCCACCCCCCCCACCATAAGCAGGGACATCTCCAACTAGGTCAAGCTACTCAGAGCGTCATCCGGCCTGATCTTGAATGCCCCCAGGGGTGGGGCCTCCACCACCTGTCTGGGCAACCTATTCCAGGGATCTGTCACCCTCATACTGGAGAACTTTTTCCTAACGTCTAACCTAAATCTCCCCTTTTCACTACAAACCCTTGTGAATAGTTCCTCCCCTGCTTTTCTATAGGCCCCTCCCAGGTGTTGGAAGGTCGCTATAAGGTCCCCCCAAAGCCTCCTCTTCACCAGGCTGAATAACCCAAACTCCCTCAGCCTGTCCTCACAGGAGAGCTGCTCCACCCCTCTGATCATTTCTGTGGCTCTCTGCTGAACACACTCCGACAGGTTCTGTTATTCAGGCTTTGTTTCAGAAATACAACATTCTTAAGAGACTTGGTAATAAATAAAATAATTATGCCTGAAAGTCTTTTCTGGGAAGTTCTTTTTGTAATGGTATTGAATTATTGAAGATAATGAAAGTGTTTGCATAAACAGATTTAGGCTCAAAAACTCAGAAAAGCTGCTTTTCTGACATTCAGAACTCTGTCTTCTTCTCTTTGAAGATCTTCATATTCCCACAAAAAGCTGGACATAGTGTAGGTCACTATCACAGGAGTGCTGGCAGTCTGGGTCCAGCTTGTGAGATAGGTTGGTGCTCTGAAAGCTGCTGCTACACCTTGGTTCAATGAGAGGAGAGCATTGTTGTCACTTGACTCTGCGAGCTGTTCCACAGAAGTGTCTCAAAACTGTCAGTTAAATCACAGCACTGAAATGCTGTTACCACTTAAAATGCTGTAAATTATATGTGTATAAATAGAGGAACAGAGCCAGGGTTTGTGGCATGTTTGGAGAACCTCACTTAACTGCAGAAGACGAAGCGCATCCTTGTAGAAACCAAAGTGGTTATGGCTTCTGAACAGTTAACCTGCTCCTTGAAGCCCTATTGAATTTACTGGGAAAAGGGAAATCATGGAACTCTTGAAAATAATTTTCTACCTCAGTTGTGGTTATGGCAAGGTTACTGGGCAGTCCTGCTGCAGCAGCTGCAGTATGGCAGTGAAGTATAGCTTCTGGGGGTTAGGTGATGCAAGACAAAGGTTGGGGAGGAATACCTGCCTCGGGTATTTATTACATGCTGTGAGACAGCATGCACAGAGCTCTGCCCTGGTTTGCAGAATCTTTGCCTCCGTCAGCTTACGGTTCAGAATTAACAGCACCACCAATGTGGAAGACATTGTGGTAGGTGTCTGCTGCAGACCACCTGATAAGGAAGAAAAGGCCTTCTTCAGACAAGTGGAAGAAGCCTCACAATCACAGGCCCTTACATCAACATCTCCTGGAGGGACAGCATAGGAGAGCACAATTCAGGAGGATTCTGGGATGTATTCATGATGACGCCCTGACACAGGTGGTTGAGGAGCAGAAGAGGAGGCATGCTGTGCTAGACCTCATATGTATAAATAAGGAAGAACTGGTTGGAGATCTGAAGGTCAGGGCGAAGCCTTGGCCATAGTGACCATGGATATTGGAGTTGAAGATCCTGAGAGGAAAAGCAAGACAAGTGAGATCACAGCCCTAGACTTCAGGGGAAAAACTTTGTCCAGTTCAGGCCAATACCTGCTTGGAAGAATCCCATGGCATGTAATACAGTTCTAGAATGAATAGGGGTCTAGGATTGCTGAAGATAGATTGATATACTTTCACTTACAGGAATTTACGTTGTTATAAAAGTTAATATTAAGATTGCCAGGGAAGAAACATTTTCTTGACTGTGTTTTGAATATGCAGCAGCCAGAGTCTAGTCAGGAGCCATGCTTTGTTTCTTTCACCTCTCAGTGCTAATAAATCCATGGCCTTGGCAGTGATTCGTTCCTAGTGTAAGGAGAAGATATTTTGCAATATAGTGTTTTGGGAAGCATTTTCCTAGAAGGTGGTACAGGGGAGTTGCTACCTTGACATATCTGAGAATGAATAGAAAGAACCTGGGTAGATGCCAGCATTTAAATACAGGTAATTGAAGTTGTGTGCTTAGATGAGTGTGGACATGTGTGGGAGCACAAATGATGGATAGCATGGTAAGAAATGCCTGCACAAAAACACAAAGATGCTGGATTTCAACATATAAAACTCCTTGGATTTCAGCATACTGGTATTCAAGTGGTTGTATCTTATAAGTGCAACTTTTTAATTAGGGGCAACTAGAACTCAATCACCTTGTCTGGCTATCAGTGTTGTCTGCTAGGGAGAGAGATCTACTATGTGTTTAATTTTGTGTGCTTCTTTAAGAGTTCATGGGCTGGCCAAGTAGCTGCTATGTGTTCTCTGAACTAATGCCTGTTAGCTTTAAGCTTTTAATTCAATAGGACTCTTTGAGTATGTGGCTTTTTAAAAAAAAAAAAAACAAAACAAGTGTCATGTTCTGATCAGACTGTTAAAAGAAATGTCTAATAAACTTCATATTGGAAATCAAATTCGTAAGAACCTTGTTCAGCTGCTCAGGCCTTGGAATAAAGGTGTACTGTTCAGTGCAAACCAGAAGTGTGATCTTCTCTACAAAAAGGGCACAGAAATATACAGTGTCACTTAAAATGCGTGGAGGTGTGTGCTAACCTTTTTGCACTGATTCTTTGAGAGAGACTGCGGTAGCTTTAAAACCATATCTTATCTGCTTAGTGTTTGATCTTCTTTTTCTCAGGGTAAACAAAATAGCTTCAGACCTCTCCAGGCTCCATAAATGACAGCAAGTGAGGTTTCTGTTTAATGGATTGTTTAGAGCTTAATTTCCCCCCTGTCCTTCAGGGAATTTCTGACTCTGAGAAAATAATTGCATGCTTGATGAGGACAGAAACTTTATTGCAGTGGTCCAACAATCTGAATACAATTGTGACACTATACAAGAAACCCCAAGCAAATGGCCCATTCAGAGACCTTACATAACTGTAGCAGGTTTGAGTTTCCAGCAGATTTGAGTTTGCCTTTTTGATTATCATCTGATGTGAGGCGAGGCTTAGGGTTTCAAGTTCACAATAAACCTATTCAGAGCAACTCTTTTATCAGCTTGAACAGTATCTGCAGAGTTCTCTTCATCTTTGGCTTTACTAAAAGAAACTATTTAAACTTAACCAACAAGCAGGGATCTTGGAATTATAAGCAGAGTATCGTTTTGTTTTGATAGGGCTGTCTATTACTTTGGGCTCTATCTAGAGTTCTTAAATGGCCCTGTTTATCTCTTCTGCATTGTGGAACTTCTAGTACTATTCCACACAATTTGCTTATTTTTTAAGACTTCAAATTACTTTTAACACATTTACTGGGTTAAAAACTCTGGCCCT